GCATAATAATAGACACTCCAGAGATTCCCCATCTTCAAAAACTTCCTTAGAAAAGCCAAATACACAGTTTCATTATTCATACATTCTGTCTTGCATAAAACAGCATGTACCAGCTGGTGCTGGTGGTTTCCCCTGTAATCCTAGCTACTTCATAAACTGAGATTGGGTGTGGGATTGAGGTTTGAGGCCAGCCCCAGCAAATAGTTCACAAGGCCCCATTTCCAAATAACCAGAGGAAAAATGGACTCTAGAGGTGTGGCTCAAGCAGTAGAGTGCCTCCTTTGTAAGCCACAAAGCTCTGAAGTTCAAAACTATGGTCCCACCAACACACACATACCACATGAAACACTTGACACATTTAGCAAGGATGGCTTTTCCCCAGTTTGCTCTATCTAGTATGTTCCTTATTTTCAGCTGAAACCTCATCACAATGACCTTTACTGACCATATTTCTCCCAACATTGATTCTCTGCATGACCACTTTGATACACTGTAAGGTGATTGAGGCTTTACCTACACTTCTTTATGTGCCTTCACCAAAATCACCCTCAATAGTTTATTGTTATGTAGGCTTTTTCTCGCATGCATGTCTAAACTCTACCTATTGTCCAGCTCCAGATCAGCTTCCACATTTTTGGTTTTCTTAAAATAGCACTACCACTCCTCAGTACAAATTTTCTTAGTCTATAAACACTATAATAAACTGGATGGCTTCTATTTTGTCAACAGAGAATTTCCAGATCACGGTGCTAGTAAGTTAGTTGTGCAGTGAGAGCCCACTTTTTTGATTCATAGGTGGCACCTTCTTGAACTTCATGGGGGAAGGAACAAGACATATCTTTGGGGCTTCCTTTATAATAGCTTGAATCCCCTTCAGTAGGGCAGTCCTCATGATATAATCACTGCCCAAAGACCCCTTTGTGATTAGGTTTCAGTATTGTAATGGGGGGGGTGGGTGGCAACAGAAACATTCAGAACATAGCAAGAACTTTTGATCTTCCATTCCTTTAAGGACCTTCAGGAGTGAAAAAAGCCGGTCTAACCAAGGAGTCTCAGAACTAGAAAATGGATATTTTATTGGTATTCATATCTTCCTGGTTTTTTTCCTCAAACAGCTATAGAATTAAATTTATTTATCATTAATAATATGTATTCTCAAAAAGAGCACATAAAATACGGTGTGGTGGTACATGCGTGTAATCCTAGCACTCAGAAATCTGAGTCAGGTTGATTTCAAGTTCAAGGCCAACCTGAACTGCATAGTGAGTTCTAGGCCAGCCTGGACTACATAGTGAGCCCTTTCTCAAACAAACAACAACAAACAAAGGTAAACTCAAGAGATTAAAGCATATAAAATACATGCTATTTTGATAAAAGTTAATTGTGTATTATTGTTTCAGAGTTTGCTCTGTAATGAGAAGATTGAGTCTTGGTTCCATGCCTCCTTTGAATTTTTAGGGACGGTGGGGGTATTGGGTTTGAATTCTGGTCCTGATGGTCCCTAGGCTCTCTACTGTTTAGCCATGCCTACAGTTCTTCTTGCTTTTGTTATTTTTTCAAATAGGACCTCCCATTTTTGCCAGGACTGGCCTAGACTGAGATCCTCCTGTTCACACCTCCTGTATAGCTGGATGACAAGCATGAGCCTGTGTACCTGGCCTCCTCAAATGTGCTTTGTGATATGAAACATTTCTAATATAAAGTATAAATAATAATGAATTCCTATGTAATCAAATACTGTTTTTGTTAGAAAATGGAACCTGCTGTGTACATTGGTAGGACTTTCTTCCTGTGTTTTGCAAAAGTAATGTTTTGGCATTCTTAAATTATTTGAAAACCCCATTAATCAGTCATTTCACCTCCGGTTTTCATAATCATTTGTGTTTAGTCTTAATTTGTGCCTCTTTAAATAAATGCCTATGCCTTAAAATGTAAAAAAACAAATGCATTATTAGTTAATACATATACTTAGAGAATATTTAGTCTTTTTTTTTTAATTGGACAATACCATTTCTCTCCAGGGCTGAGGTTGATCTGTGTAAATTATACCCAGATGTCCCTGTCTTCTTCCCATACATTGTTTACTGTGTAAACTAAAGTTACGGAATTACTTAAAATTAAGTAACTACTTACAAAGTCAGACAATTACTTAAAGATAGAATTCTCATGATGAAACATTAGTTGAAACTTCTCAAGGGAATCTGAGACATTTCTAGCAACAGTTATTGTGAAGTCATCAATACAAAGCTTCGTGCTTTGTAATCATTCTTCATTGCACATGTTTTGAGCACCTGCAACATGCTAGTCCAAACACACCCAGAATTCTAAGTTCTTCGCTGTAAAAGAAGACACACAGTCCCTCCCCTTGTATTTACCCATTGCTAGAAACTCGTGACAGTACTGCAGAACTAGAAAGCATGAAATGTGTTTGTTTACTTATTTATAGTAGGTAGGACTTAATTGTTTTAACTCTTTGTGTCACTTGACAGCTTTAACTGTGGAGAAAATTGGCATGATCCTGTTAAATGTAAGGTGAGTTTGGCATGTTCAGTTTTGAACTATGTAATGGTGAATTTTTACTGAAATCTTGGTAGAAAGTAACAGCTGATGACTTTGCTATTTGTTAGTAAATAGAAGATTTTGTTTTGCCCTTTTAATTTCAGGTGAACCCTGCAGGAGCTCAAGGCACATTCCTTAGGGTGTCAGCTCCTGGTTATCCTTAGGATAGAAGTGGTTAAGTAACTCTTGGTAGACTCTGTCAGTGGAGAAATACACATGTAGCCTGACTTTTCTTTAAGTAGTTAGCTAGACTCCCCCCACTCAGCTTCAGCCAGAGGAGATCTTGATTGATTTTGTACACTAGGTATTACAGCTACAATATTTTCCTGGTTCAAGAGGAAGTAAACCTAGTGATAATCTATTTTTGCTTTCATATTTAAAAGTTTGACCGTATTTAAGTGCTGAAGTAATTTGCTATCATTTAAGGCCTTTTGTTAAATTTTAACAGTTGTTGTTTTCAAACAGTGGTTAAAGAAGTGGATTAAAAAATGTGATGATGACAGTGAAACCTCCAATTGGATTGCAGCCAACACAAAGGTTGGTGTTTTTCTTCAGCAACTATTGGTAATGGAACTGATACGGAGGTGCACCAGCTTAGCACAGGCACAGTTTGCCTAGGCCTGTACCTGATCACACCTGTTTGTCCCCACAATGATTGTCTATTAATTTCTTTCCTTTATGGATTTTGTCTTGCAGTGTTTAGTACTATACTGCAGTGTGCAATGTGCTCTGCTTTAGGTTTCTTTCACTGTAAAAACAACAGTTTGCTGTAGAACGAGCTGCTCATTTTTCCAGGCTAGGGTTTGTTCTTGACTTCCTTTTCTTATTTAAATGTATATGTACAAATGTATACTCCACTTACTTTGTTTCTCTTAGGCTGATTTACCTTCCTACCTGAAATCTCCAGAGTTTTACTTGTTAGGAATCATTCTGTAGAGGCAGGATTTTGAGCAGAGTGACTGAGTAACTATTAGGTTTTTATAATGTAACTGAACTAGGCTTAACAGAACAATTTCTCCAAATCTGCTACATGTTAAACTTCTAAAATATGACTTAAGATTCTTCACAATGAGAAATAGGAATTTTGGAGTAATTGTGTAGTCTTTGTTTTTTGTTTTGAAGTACATTAATAGCTAATAATGTCAGTTTCAAAATTCAGTTTCGCTATCACCATGAGCTACTTTATCAACTCAACAATATCTTACAAATGCAAATTAATTGTCAGCACCTTTCTTCTGAGTCATAAACAGGCATTTGAGTTATACCTAGTTTCTTAATAGTAAATGGTATAAACATCATCATATATTTAATTTAGCATTATCTTATCTATATAGAAAGCAACTTAGGTATTGAAGGATACGGTAATTCTATTCATTTTTAGTATGGCCTTTCACATGTGAAGATGATGCTTTACAGAATGCTGAGTTGTTTGACCACTGTAAGTTATATCTTTTTTCCCTGTTTAAAGGTTGGTCAACACTTTTAAATATGTCCATCTTACATACTTACATATATGAGTATGCATATCTTTCTGCTAGAAAGTATTGGTAGTCATTGAATCCTGTCCCATTAAACAAATGCTTGAATTTAAAAAAAAAAAAGTGTATGGTAGAAATTAGTGTTTTTGTGCTCTCTATCCAACCATCATTATAAACATAACTCCCATCACTCCAGAAAGCCTAAGTATAGTGTAATGTCAGAAAGTAGTTACTTGTTTTGCTCTTTTAAAAGAATTTCCTTCCCAACCATGTTTTGAAATTTGAAGATTCGTTCACCACTAAGATTCATTAATGTCCCAGGATCTTTTCATATGCCATGTGAAACTGTATTTAGAAAAGGGTGGTTATCTTTTCACTAAGTTGTTTGATTGAGAAATCTACAAATACCCTACCCCTAAGAAGTTTAGAATGGGGAGGAGTATAGGTTTTGATATGTTTGGTTTTTTTAGAAGGTAGCTTACCAGAGAAGAATGTCAGTGTGAATAACTCAGTCACTTTGTTGTTGTAAAATGAAACTGAAGAGGTTTCCTCTTGAAGTTTGTATTTATTATCATTAGCTCCATTAAACAACTTGTAGGTTGATGATATGCTAACATTTTGGGGACTAAATACTGTTTGGCTAATAAATGCTTCTTTGGGAATGTGTAAAATTTTTAAGTGAATAGTTTCAAAAAATTGATTTAAAATATACAACAAAAATTGCCATATTAGCCTATTTAAAACTACTGTACTTTATGGACAGTGCAGTCTCTTTCACAAAGGCCAAATTATATAATTATAGCATAGACCTTTTGTAGGGTTATAGATATCAAACTCAAATACAGCAAATGTAGCTAAAAATACAAGCTCTGTAGCTTATTATTTATAGTTGTAAAAGAATATAATGAGTAAGGTTGATTTTTTTTTTTTCTGGATTGTTCAGAAGCCAAAAATAATAATAATAATAATAATTTCGCAAGGCAGTGGCTTTGGCTTATTAGCCACTGAACCCGTGAAGAAAGGGTTCGCATTTGGAAAGACAACATGATCTTGGTAGCATAGCTTTTAATTGGCCACAATGAAAAGAATTTCAAGCATACATATTTGGCCAAACAAAGTTGAGTGATTTGGTACGTGTTTACCTATTGAGGCCTGACTTCCTGCTTGCCTGACTGTGGAGGTCAGATTGCTTGATTATAGGTTCCGTTGACTTAGAACTAGTTCTTCATTAACTTTTTTTCTCCATAGTTTGTTCATCTGACAAATGGGAATAAGAATAGTGTACGGGTCGGTGCATATAAAGCTCTGAAAACAGTGTGTGGAGTATAGGTAGCACTCTATTGATGACACTGGAGAATATATTATATTTATATGAACAATATCTTACCCTCCACAGAACTAAAACTGTGTGTATGATTAAAACTAGTTAAAATGGAGGGCTAGGGATATACCTTTGGGTTAGAGTTGGTTGTCTTGTATGCACAAGACCCTGGCGTTCAATCCCCAGCACTGGGGGAAGAAAAAACCTACTTTAAGCCAGGTATGGTATTTCACGCCTGTAATTCTATAGAGTGCTACAATTCTAGCATCCTCTAATTCTAGAGGCAGGAGGATTAAGAGTTCAAGGCCATCCTAAGCTACCTGTCTCAAAAAGCTGCTTAAGATGTTTTTGCCCCTCAACCCCACTTTTAAAAAGTCCTGAAATTTCCATGTATCTTAAAAGCCAGTAATAATGATAATGGTTCATTTTTAATACTACTTATTAAATGTTTGACACTGTTCTAAGTGCTTTACATGTATTAACTACAATGAGTAAACCAAATCTAGAACTGGCTTCTCCTCAATGGTAGTAGTACAACCTAGTGTAGCATTGACACCAACTTTATAGTTTCTTTTCATAGGAATGTCCCAAATGCCATGTCACAATTGAGAAGGATGGCGGTTGTAATCACATGGTCTGTCGTAACCAGAACTGTAAAGCAGAGTTCTGCTGGGTGTGTCTTGGCCCTTGGGAACCACATGGATCTGCCTGGTAGGTTTGGGGAATGGAAGGATATGTTCACATAAGTATGTGATGTGTACCACATATTATGAATAACATTTCTATCTCAATGAAATCACCATCTGACTTGGTAGTTAAACAAATAAGAATTAGTGTGTGATCCGTGTCATAAGAGAAACAATCCTATACAGTTATCAACAGAGGAGGATCGGTTAAGCATATTGTGCAAAGGAGGTAATTGTTGAACTGAGCTTTTAAGAATACTGAGATTTCCCCTTCTTAAAAAGTAGTAGGAAATACGTTGTGGGCAAAAGTAACACCATGAACAAAAGTAGAATGAGCTGAATGAAAAGTACATGACTTATTTTCAGATTTACATTGTTTAGTGTGTTTCTCTAGCCAAAAGTTGTAAACTAAAGTCTGTTGGTAAAATACAACCTGTGGATGAATTGTTTATCTTACCTTAGACGTCATTGGATAAGAATTTGTCCTGTACATTAAAAATTGGGAATTTGCTCATCAAAAATCCTTATTTCTATAGCTTTTCTTAGAAACAGTCCTGCACCCTGCTTGACAACAATCACCTGGAACTGGGAGCAGCCTTTAGGTGGCCTTCACTTTCTAAATGGGAAGGTTTCCCAAGGCCTGCGCCATTCCTTTGCATCCTCTAGGGGTTGTTCCACGACTCTGCAGAGACAGACCAATGATCAAGGGTGCTTACTTCCATTATTTACAGTGCGTGGTATTTGCATATCGATTGTGCATATCCTCCTGTGTGCTTCATTCACATCATCTCTAGATACTTAAAAGCAATGTAATGCTTTATAAACAGTTAGACTGAAAAGTCTACACAATGTCCAGGACAGATGCTTTTTTTCTTTTACTTTTCTGGATATTTTTGATCAATGATGGGTTGAATCCATTGATAAGTAGCCCTCAGTTATAAAGGGCTGGCTGTTTTTTATTTAGTATGCATACCTTTGTTGCATGAATATTTCTTATTTGGGAAAATGCAAGTTAGACTGTGGATGAGTTTTGAGAAAAATGGAAACTAGCACATTTTCTGATAAAAGTAAAACGTTTCTGAGTGTAGTAATATGGCCCGCTTCACTAATTGTGTTACGTTCCTGTCCTGTAGCCCCTGGTAAGCTGTGGGGAATTGGAAAAGACTTAGGAAAAACTGGGACTAAAATAGTTTGCTTAACATCATAAGGATAGCTGTTACTTAGATGAGAAATCTCTGTATTATGTGCTTTACACACATTATCTCATAATTCTGGTACTCTGTAAAGAGTAGATGAGGAAGGGAAGAGATTGCAGGTTCAAGATAAGATGAAGATGGCAACTTAAGACAGAGACAAGTCTTTCCTTTTACTTTCATTAGAACTTTCATTACTTGCATTAGAGTAATACTAATAGGGATTGCTTTTCAAATTAATTCTTAGCTGGGTGAAAACTGATTAAGTTGACGTAAAGAAATTATACCATTGTCAGAGATGAGGAAAATTATTTGTGTGTTAGCTGGACAGGTTCTCTAGATTTTAAGAAGGCAAACTGGAGGATTGTCGTGTTCCCAAAGATTAAGTTTACTCTGTGCTTTTGTAAACACCTAGTTGAAGGGGTTGCAAGAAAGGATAGGGAAGAAGAGTTTTTAAAGACATATTTATGTTTGTATAATGACAACTCAGATTTTAAGTGAGTCTTACTGAAACATGAAAAGAGTTACAAGTGACTGATTAAAAGAATGAATAATGACTTGGAGCAGGTGTCAGAAGTGCTGCTGTGTTTTGCCTTAGACATGTTACATTGCAAGTAAATCATGCTTTGTTTTCTTATATACGTCTTAAAATGCCTTCTCATTGTCAAAGTTGTATTCCAAGTAGCACTTTCAGCTATTTGAGATGAAAGTACAAATGCATCTTGAATGTTTGCTTTCCTAGCCATAAAACCCTTAATAATGTTGGCATGAAGAAGCCCAGAATTGGATGAAACTAATAAATTTTATTTTATATTTTTAGAAAAAGCACAGAGTTTGTAAGGATATAATGACTATGAGGAAGAGAGGAAGAGGTGTTAGTAGCTGATGAACAGAGGTCAAAGGGAGCAATCCTTGGACTAGGTTAAGAATCTACTGCCACAGGAGGGTCATAATCATAATCCAGGATGGGGGAGATTAACATTGAATCTCCTCACCCAGATGAACCTTATCTGGGGTACTTTAAAAACTTAAAGATGGGGTTAGTTGTTGACTATTGAATAATTATGGAAAATAGAGAAGTATTAAAGACTGTAAGCAGATAAAATGTAATCCTAGATTTCTAAAATTTATGACTTGATTCCACATACTACATCTGAACCACATAATTTTTCTGTTATGAAATCCTAGGGTCAAACTGTATCATTGGGAGGCTGGATTAGGGCATATTTTCTGGATTTCAGCAAGGTATTTCACTTGTGGCCTAGGCAGGGATGTTTGTGGATTGACTGACTAATTCTTGGGTATACATATGGATTTGTATCTTCCTTAGGAATACTTTGAAAGCTTGCTGAAAGTTATTATCCCCTGCTTCCCTCCCTCCTTTTTTCCCTTCCTTCCTCCTTCCCCCCCTCCCTTTCCTTCCTTCCCTCTTATTCCTTCCCTCCCTCCCTCCTTTCTTTCCTCTTCCAGCCTTCCAACCTTCCTCCTTTTCTCTTCCTTCCTCCCTCCTTCCCCCTCCCTGCCCTCATCTACCTTCTATTTCTCTCTTCCTTTCTCTTCCTCCCTCCCTCTTTCTAAATGTATTACGTATAGACTGCTTTCCTGGTCAATTTCATTAGTGACTTGTTTGAATCAATATACAAACTGTATATACATTTTGGGGAACATTAAAGATAGAGGGCTGGTGGAGTGGCTCAAGTGGTAGAGCACCTGCTTGGTAAGCATGAGGCCCTGGGTTCAGTTCTTAGCAACATAACACATAAATCCTGAAAAACTTAAGCTAGAACAGCAGCTTCAATTTAATAAACTTTAAATTCAGAACTTTAGATCTAAAATGAAAAGTTCACTGTCGAGATTTCGGAAGACATGGCAAAGGCATGTTAGTAATGTGCTCACTGGTTAAGAGCATGAGCTTCATTTGGCAGACAGGTGTAAGTTTAACTCCCTGTGAAACTCCTCATGTATGTTGCTTATTCTCTCTAAATATGTAACTCAGCTGTCCAGTGAGGATAATACATATGTAATAAGGTGTTTAGCAGATGCTCTGTATATAGTAAGTACTTGATAAATGAATAGTCACCCCCCTGAATATAGACTCTCATAAAAGAAATACAGGAACCATTTACAGTTATCAGTCAGTCTTACTCGTCTCCACTCTGGGCATGTTCCTTCCTTCTTCCCTTTTTGTATTTTAATAATACAGTAGCATGTAGAGCACATATCACAGCATCTGTTACAGAGTAGTCTGTCAATTATCGCCTCTGTTTGGCTTATGAAGATGCAGATAAGGTGAGTAACTCTGGAAAATTAGGAATATTAAGGCCTGAATAACCATGGGTCTAGGAGATTATCTTTTTTCTTTAGAAATTGAGTTAGAAGTTAAAACTACAAACAATAAGTGGAAGTTCTAGAAAAATGTTCTCTAATGCTTGCAGGTGAGCTGATTTGATTTGTATCTGCCTCAGGAGGTGAGGAATTTTTTGTTTAGAGCTGACCTAGTGTTATAGAGAAGATTCAAGCACTTAAGATACAGAAATATATTCAACAACCCTTGCAGTTCCCTTTAGCCTGTTAACTGTCATTATGTCAGTGGAACCCTAAGTGTTTTAACATCTCAGTTTATGTTTTAAAATACAATGGACAACAAAGAAAAAAATAAAACAATAAAAAAAAAAGAAAAAAATAGAAGAGGAAAAAAATACAATGCTGGTTCTAGATAATCTCTAAAGCCAGGTTAAATGATGTGATTGTTTAGGTTTTCATTGATTTATGGCATGATGGAATCCTCTTGATTTTATTTAAGGTACAACTGTAATCGTTATAATGAGGATGATGCAAAGGCAGCAAGAGATGCACAGGAGGTAAGTGTACTTATTACAGAATAACAGTTGAATAGGAACGCGTATGGTGTATTTATTAGGGAGTAATTTATCAGAAGTTGTCGATTCTGGAAGGTTTATGGAAAGTCATGCCATTAATACTGGGTATCTGTTTACATTTAAAAGAGATCCTTATCTAGAATGCTTTTGCCAGGACCTTGCTGTGTAGCCCAGGCTGGCTCAAACTTGTGATTCTCCTGCCTCTGCCTCTTAAGTATTGCCATCACAACCCGCCACAAGAATATTCCTTGAAACCCATTGTGTGAGCAGCTAGGAAATTCCCTGTTAAGAGACAGGGAAATCACTTGCTTTTATAGAACAATTCAGACAGTGGGTGTAAATTAGGTTTTACAACAGTTCCAGTTCCTTTTAGCCTGGTGATTCTATTATAATGGTACAACTGTGGACTTTAATAGTTCTTCATTTATTTATTTCTTATTGAAGTTCCTATGAAAACAAAATATTCTTATCAAATGGTTTTGCCTACTCAGATGCAATCTAAAACATGATTTGCATTTGTTGTGAGTTGGGGTTTTTTTGTTTTGCTTTGTATTTTGCTTTTTAATATTTCCTTCAAATTTATTTCTAGGCTGGATGGTACATGCCTATAATCACAGCACTGGGGAGGCTGAAGCAGGAGGATAGAGAATTCAAGGCCACCCTGGACTACATGGCAGATTTTAAGTCCAGACTGGGCTACATAGTGAGACCCTGTCTTAAAAAGAAATTCTAAGCTAGATGTGGGGGAATCATTGTTCAAGGCCAGGCAGATAGTCTCAACCACTAAAGTTGGATATGGTGGTGCACACCTGTCATTCCAGCTGCTCAGGAAGCACAAGTAGGAGAATCGCTGTCCAGGCCAGCCCTGGGCATAACAGCAGACCTTATTCAAAAAATAGCTAAAGCCAAAAGGGCTAGAGGTATGGCTCAAGTGGTAGACACCTGCCTAACAAGGGCAAGAGCCTGAGTTCAAATCCAGTACTGCATATATATTTCTAGTAAACAAATGCCATAAATACAAAACTGTATATACATATCTCTTCCTCTGTCATATTAGTAGAAGTAAAAGTACTGTGTTTTTGTTTTATGATTATAAATGATGAGTGTTTTAGTCTTTCACAATATTTTGGTCCTTTTAAAAGCCAAAAAAATTCCCCACAAATTCCAATGTTGATTTAAATATATTTGTTACAGTCTCAATAAGTATAAACATAAAACCAGGCTATAAATTCTTATATTTTTAAATAACTATCCAGGACTGGGGATGTGGCTCTGTGGTAGAGTGTTTGCCTATCATTCCTAAGGCCTTGGTTCAATCCCTGGCACTGCAAAGGGAAAAAAAACAATCACACTTAAACAATTTTACAACTAAACCTAAAAAAATGATGAAATCAGTGAAACTCAAATTACATTTAATTAATTTGGCAGGTTTGTGCTCTGCTGAAATAAAATTGCTTTTGCTAGACTGCTATCTTGCTGGTTTTCCTTTTTTAAATTTAAATTTAGTGTTAAGATAGTACTAAGTGTTATGTAATACTTGTTCTCCCATTTTTGTGTATTTGACTAGTTACAAACCTACTCTTGACTTGATCTGGCCAGAATTTGATTGTTGTTCCACTTACCACTTAACTTTCTGGCATAAAGTAATACTGCTTGGTGCCCATCTTAGCAGTTTTGCAAATTTATAACCAGATGTTAAGTTTTGGTTCTCAGTTTTAAGGAGGCTGTATAACTGATGAACTAGAGTATTTGTATTGTTTCTTTATATTATTATGTTTTTTTAGCACATTTAAACACTTTAAAGATAGTATGGTCTCATGAGATCAAGGCAAGTCCAAGTGTACTCTCCACTCCAACACCCCTCTAGTAGACCTCAGATTACAATTTACGATTCATCACTCCATATATTTTGATACACAATGAGAGTCATGCTTTTTCCAACTTGCATTTTGCCCTTGATTCTTTTTATCTTTGTTTTTTTTTTTCTTCTCTTTATGACTAAGAAATCATGATTAAAAAAAAAACCTTGCTGAAGAACAGCACCATACATTTTCCTGTATTTTTTCTGGGTTTGATAATTCTTTTGAACCCATAGGGAAATGTTCTTTATTATGTTGCACTTACATTTCTCCTAATTACTTTGATTGACTTTTGTTTTCTAGTTATCCTGAATGAAGACTAGTCTAGCTAGAGCTAGCCAGGCTACCTGTTTAACCACCTATCTTAGTTTGCTTCAGTACCCTACCACTTCATGCCATTACACTGGAGCAATAAGCCTCAACAGGAATTTTGGCAGGGACAACCCATATATGGTTTAATCCCTGACCTTAACTGGTCTTCATTTGGTTGCTGGTGGAATCCCTTTCTGAGATAACACCCAGAGAAGTTGTGTTGTTATGCATAGCTTTTAAGCCATTCTAGATTCTAGAAGTGAGGATGTTTTGTTCTTCCTGATTCACATCTGTTGGACTAAACTAGAATCTTCTGATCCTGTGGGAATACAGGGAATGATTTCATATCACAGCATTTATTTCATGGGAGCATTCCTTCATGAATGGAACACACCCTCTCATGTCTAACTGGCCTTCTCATCTTTCCTATTCCCATACTCTGACCTAGTGCTTACTGGGAGTTGTAGTCTTAAAAGGTAGTATAAGTTTGTCACACAGTTCACAAAGATCCTAGATTGTAGTTGGAGTGCTTTAGAAAGATGTGCTTGTGTTATAGAAAGTTTCACAGCGCTCTCTGTGGTAGACATTTGAATTTTCTCTTCTGTGCTGGGAGATCAGCACTTTTTCTATGAAGGGCCAAATAATATTTGTATACTCTGTGGTCACTGTTGTGATTACTCAACTCTGCCTCTCCCTTGGTGGAGCCAAGGCAGCCATAGATTAAATAAATGAACAAGATGACAATGTTCCAGAATAACTGTATTTAGAAAAACCAATGGCAACTGGACTTGGCTGGCAGGCCAGTTTCCCTAACCCTGTTCTTAGCAATTAGTTTTGGGTATTTTGCAAAATATTTTTAGGTCACTGATTGCATTTCTCATTTCAGATTAAAGTATTGAGTTTAGTGATAAATGGTTTCAGAATTGTTAGAATAAATCAAGTCCTCTAGCATCGTATGTTGTAATGTGGTAAATTTCCATTCAGTTTTGGTAGTTTGACTAGCTTGCCGACGTTAGTGCATTAGAGGAAGATAAAATGCCAAGGAGACTAATTGTGTATTTTCAGCTTGGCACATTTTATTCAGTTCATAAGCATTAGTTTGATACCTCCCTGACTCTTGAAATAATGTGGCATTGCTGTACATAATGGCACATGTCTGTAATCCCAGCATTCCAGAGGCTGAGACTGGAGGATCTGGAATTTGAGGCCAACCTGGGGTATATAATGAGACCCTATCTGAAAACAGAGAAGAAACAATGTGGCTTTTGTTGTTTTGTTTTGTTTGATTGACGTGTTTTGGTGTTGTATTTTATACTGTATAGTGTGATTTACTACTCATGTGATTCAGAATTAATATTTCTAAGCCAATAAAAAACAAAGCAACCATTGCGTCAAGTAGTGTTTGTGTTATTTGTAAGCTTTAAAGCATAAAGAGAAGAGTGGTGAAAGTAAAAGAAACTTGTCTATGTGTGTATGGTTAGAAACCCTTTGAATAGGTTATGTTCAACAAGCAGTAATCATTTTTGGCATATCAGCTAGTAGAAATGTCAGGCTTACTTTTTTTTTTTTTTTTTTGGTGGTGGAACTGGGGTTTGAACTCTGATCCTCATGCTTACAAGGCAGGTAACACTTGAGCCACACCTCCAGTCCGCCCGGCTTACTTTTAAAAGTCTGTCACCTCTATTTATTTATAGAATAATGAAAGATCCTAGATGAACTATTATTATGATTATTATTTTTTGGTGATGGTGGTACTGGGGATTTAATTTAGATCCATAGCTTGCTATGCAAGCACCCTTCCATTTGAGCTGCACCCTCCGTTGTAGGTGAATTTATTTTTATAATAGGATAGTATAAAAAGTATCTAAACTAGATACTTTGATAATATTCTGTGTATTGCCAGAAAATGATCTACTGTCTTTGTTATATTTATGGATTTTGCGGGGAGAGGGGTGTGGGATTAAACCCAGTGCCTCATGCATGCCAAGCACATGCTGTTCCACAGCCACCTCTCCAGTGCTCCCTTATTATATTCTTATTTGTGGGTAAATATGTGCATATACTTTAAAACAGTGTATTTTTAGGAGATGGCATGGTATGGCATCTCTGTAATCCCTGTGCTCAGAAAGGCTTTGAGTTTGAGAATATCCTGGGCTACATAACAAGACCTAACCTGAAAGGCTGAGAAGTAAAAATTAAAAAGTAAAACAATTAGCTGGGTGCTGTTGGCTCACATCTGTAGTCCTAGCTACCCAGGAGGCTCAAAAAAACTCTTTGCAAAAACTGGGCTAGTGGAGTGGCTCAAGGTGTAGTCCCTGAGTTCAAATCCCGGTGCCACAAAATAGATAAAACAATGCATTGTTGGTATCAGCTGTCCAGCGTTCAGATGTTCTCAATTATGTAGTAAGTTTTGTTTTTGTAGTTAGTTCAAATCAGGTCCATAAATGGATTTGATTGATATCTCTTCAAGTTTTTTCTGTGATTTCTTTTTCCTTTCCCCTTGTTTTTTTGCCACTTGCTTGTTGAAGAAATTAAGTCTTTTTCTTCTGTAGAATTTCCCACTTTATGGATTTTGGTGATTGCAACTGCATGGTATCATTTAATAGCTGCTTCTGTCACTGTAGTTCCTGAAAGTGGTGATTAATTCTACATTTGCTTAGATTCAGACTCAGTTGGAGAGAGAGGGACTTGAACAGTTATTTGATCACTCTGTATATTTTCAGTCACGTTATGTTAGTTTATGGAATCTGGTTGCCTCTATATAGCTTTCTGTTTACAAATATTTCTGCTTCTAGGGCTGAGTCTATAGCTCAGTCATAGAGGACTTACCTCTTTCACAAAGCCCTGGGTTCACCCACAAGCAACACACACACACACAGTCTGTGCCTTGTTTTATATCTTATTGCATACTATAGAACATTGCTATCCAATACAACTGTTTTGTAATGATGACAGTGTTCTTCATCACCGCTGTTCAATGTGGGAGTTACTAACTGTGGTTGTGACTATTGAACACTGAGAAACTGGACAATAGCAGTGGACTCATAGGTGCTGTACTGGAAAGTATAGAAGGGTACTAAGAGCAGTATTCAGTAACAGTAGCCAGGGATAAATGTGTTCCTGATTTTAGTCTAAATTACTGTACTGCTTCATCAGGAAATATAATTATTATATTTAGTTGCCAAATCATAATTATGTACACTTATGGGTACATTACATTTTGTAATGTTTTGACATATGTATACAGTGAAATGATTAAATCAGTATAACTATCTCTTGGCTTACCTATTGTTTTTTTATGGTGAGACATTTGAAATTTATTCTCTTAATTATTTTGCAATATATAACACATTGACTGTAGTTTTCATGCTGTGCGACAGGTCTCAAAACCTAGTCCTCTTGTCTGAGGCTTTACCTTTGAACAGCTTCCCCACCCCTCCCCACTGTGGTAACACCATTTTATTCTCTACTTAAACCTCTTCAGGTTATACATATTAGTGAGATTATGCAGTATTTGTCTTTCTAGGCCATGCATACCATAATACACTCCATGCTCATGCTTCATTGTCCCCCTCCCTTTTTTTTTTTTAAGGCGTAGTGTTCATGCTTATATATGCCACATTTTCTTTTCATTCATTCATTGATGGATTCTCAGATCGATTCCATATTTTGGCTATTGTGAACAATGCTGCAATAAATATGGCAGTGCAGATATACCTTCAGCATAATGCTTTCAGTTCTTTTAGCTTTATACCTACATGTGGGATTGCTAGATCATAAGGTTTCTGAAGGACCTCCATATGTTTTCCGTAATGGCTGTAGTAATACATATTCCTACCAGCCATTATAAGAATTTCTTTTTCTCCATATCCTCACCAATACTTGCCTATTTTTGATAACTTTTTTATCTCATCATGTATTAATTTGATATCAGCTTCTGTGTATACTATATATGTCATATGACCTTTTTTTTTTTCCTTAATGGGTCAGCGATCCAGGGCAGCCCTGCAGAGGTACCTGTTCTACTGTAACCGCTATATGAACCACATGCAGAGTCTACGCTTTGAGCACAAACTGTATGCTCAGGTGAAGCAGAAAATGGAGGAGATGCAACAGCACAATATGTCCTGGATTGAGGTGCAGTTCCTGAAGAAAGCAGTTGATGTCCTCTGCCAGTGTCGTGCCACACTCATGTACACTTATGTCTTCGCTTTCTACCTCAAAAAGAATAACCAGTCCATTATCTTTGAGGTAGGACTAGTTCCTGGATGGGGAAAAAACATCTACATAATGTTACAGAACTACTCTGCTTTGTCTTTAAACGTTCTTATCTACTCAGGAAATGTGGGCAAGAATAGTGGCTTTATCAGGAAGATTGGTGAAATTTCTATTTCTTACACTAAACTGCTTTCAAATTGATGTGACTAGCCTGGTAATGATTGATTAAATGTGAGGCTCTGAAATAAACCCTAGATTTAAATCTTGCTTTTACCACTTTTGAACTCTTATTTCTCTATTTTAAAGGAGATTAAACTTTAAAATTGGATTACTTTCCTAGGATATTACAATCCATATAAATTGCTACACGGTAACTGGCACATCGTACATTCTCAATAAAAGCAATTATTCAGGCAATACTAACCTGTGGTTAGTTACTACAATGGTTAACTTTGGTAGTTGTAAAAGTTTTTCAAGTACAGATGCTCATTTAAAATTGAAGCATGAAACACTGATATGTATAGAGTAAATGACAATAGGAACTGGCTGTGTTAGGAGATAAGATTTTAATCTTGTACATAGTGTTTAAATGGGTGTACACAGATGCATGAGCTAGCTGCAGCCAGATGTGGAAGAATAGGTTTGTATTATTTCAAAGTTTTTAGCAAAGGAGTAGCTCTCAGATGTAGAGGATTCTAAAAGATACTCGGATTGTCTTCCAGAGGCAATGAGTAAATCTTTAGATTTTTTTTTTTTTACATTTTAAAATTTGTTTTGAAATAGAGCAAGTTGCTAAAGGTGAAAGCTATAAAGAGTTTTACAGGTGTAGTCAAGCTGCTTATAAAATTTGTAGTATCTTGTTGAGAGCAGTATATTGTCAACAAGCAGCTAAAATGGTTTGTCTTTCAGCTTAATTTTGAAGCTGGAATTTACTCTGTATCCTTTTTCTTGCAGAATAACCAAGCAGATCTAGAGAATGCCACAGAGGTACTTTCAGGCTACCTTGAACGAGATATTTCCCAAGATTCTCTGCAGGATATAAAGCAGAAAGTACAAGATAAGTACAGGTGAGACTTTAATAGCTGGTGGGCAAAAAATTCTGTCTGTGGTCTTGAATGTTTTAGGGGTGAAGCTAAGTGTGATGAAACTGGATATAACATTCAGTAACCCAACTGCTGCCTTGTTTCCCACAGATTGCTTCTGTCCATTAGGCAGCAAGTGGCAGATAATGAGAACTGCTGAAGCAGTACTGATTTACTTAGTTCAGTTTTAACTATTCAGTTGCTACTCTGTAGAAAAGGAAAAGATGAAAAAGAACAAGTGGCCGTTAGGACGAGAGGGGTGGGAACGGGGTGTTGTCCTGAGAACCCGTGTGTGGCTCTTGAAAGGTCAGCTAGGGATGCTTATTTTTTTAAGAGTTTTTATTAGTTTTTTTTTTTTTTTAATTTCTAAGGGGAGGTTTACTCTGCTCTAGGGGTAGATGATACTTCAGGATATAACACTTCTTAAACTAAAGATGGAAAATGTTCAATTCCTCAAAATGAAGCTCTTTCTCCCAAAGTTTTTTGTACCCCACGAATCCTAATATCTTTTTAATAGTGGTAGAAAAGTGGGTATTTGGAAGACTTGGAGATTTAGTCCTGTAGTATTTTACTGCCCTTCGTCAGCTGTAGCTCCTACGTTGGTTGTACTTCTATAGTTAACAAGCATTTTACAGATGTGAATAAAACAACCTGTTGAACTGCTCGTTTCTTAAACTGTTTACTTATCTGCATAACTGGGATCAAATCATGATTTCTAAGGCTGAATGGAACTTCTAACACTTTCTAGCTCTAAATTAATTTCCAGGACTGGAAATCGTGGCTTCAGGGGTGCCACTCAGTGCTAGAAGTGCTTGCCTAACGACACAGGGCTTGGTTCCAATCTCAGCCTTGAAGGGAGAAAAACAAACATTAGAACACGAGGAGCAGTTTGATGTGTCTGTACATCTAGACCTGAAGATACGTCTATTAAAAGCAGGAGCTTGATTCCTAATCTGAATAAATTATAGGGGTGCCTTAAAAATTAAGTAAATGCCTCTTTAATTATTATTATCAGAGGCTGACAACAAGTTTTTTTTTTTTTTTTTCTCTTTGATTACAGATACTGTGAGAGTCGACGAAGGGTTTTGTTACAGCATGTGCATGAAGGCTATGAAAAAGATCTGTGGGAGTACATTGAGGACTGAGAATGGCCCTGCATAAAATGAACTCTGAAAACTTTACCATCTAGAGTGCTCATGCAATTAAAACAAAACAAACACAAACACAAACAAGCAGGCACTAAGCCTATTCTGACACCGCTGGTCTGTAGTACCAGAATTCTGTTTTGTTAATGGAAAGTTTAAGTAAATTATATTGTAATAAAAAAGGTAGATAAACCATTGTACAACAGTATTCTAGGCCGCCAACAAAAGTGTGACAGGCACACTAAAAGCCCTCCAACTTTAACTTGTAACGTAGCTTCATTCTCAAAGCTGACTCCTTTTTTTTTTTCTTTTTCCTGAGTGTAGTACAGTTAAAATTTCAAGTAGCTCCTCAACACTGCTTTTCATGTCCAAACGAGCCATTTTGTTGTACTTTGGTAAAGAATCTCTTCCCCTTCCTCCCCTGCACATACAACTATACTCCCCCACACAGCCTGACACTCTTTTCTCTCATACCCCAAAGTCAAGAGTGAATGATTAGCTCCTTGTAAAGAAAATTCTTGGGAAGGGGACAGGGGTAGGCAGCAAGAGGATTAAACAAACAAAACACACACACACACACATACACACACACGCACGCACACTTTGTATATGACTTTTAAAGCAAGAGGACAACACAGTATTTTTCAGAATTGTATATAGCGCATATGCATGGACAAAGCAAGCGTGGCACGTGTTTGCATAATGTTTAATTACAAAAATATTTATTCTTTAAAAGTCTTCAAGATTATGTCTATTTGCTGTGCATTTTCTTTCAGTTGGCTTTATCTTTCCAGGGTTGGGGTTGGGATTAAAGGTGTGTTTGTTTAGCACCCCCGGAAAGACCTAACTAGAGTGCTTCAGTTTCTCTTTCCTGAGGTTACTTTGCCCTTTCTGACTTTGGTGTGTCTTTTGCTGGCCTTGGGCCTCATGCCTGGAGTTCCCAGCTCTTGATCAGGAACAGGGAGGTGAAGTTCTAACTAAATGCTGTGACCGGTACGGACTGCAGCTCCAGTTCATCAATGAACCTGTCTCCAACCTAATCCTCCTCCTCCATGACCTCATGCTTCTACCCCAGCCCTGTGTACCCATGTCATGCACACAGCTATAGGCTTCCTATACACCCCATCACAACCAGAGTTAGCATTTCCAAATTTCATTCCTGTTTTGTTTTCCCTTAATTGCTGCTTTGAGCCTTTTAAGACTTTAGTTATGGCTCATCTCACCTCTAAGTTAGGGTATCAGAATGTTGTTGATTTAAATATAAATAAATAGCCATTCATTTAGTCTCAGATTGTGAATTTAAAATGGCGGATACTGAAATTGCTTGTGTGTGTTGCAGTGGGTTCAGTTTGAAGGCAAAACTCCCCCAGAACATGATAGTCCCATCCAGTGCATTTAAGTAGAAATCACTGAGTTTGCTTCTTTTCTATTGTCAGCAAATAGGAGGATTAATAATGCATTTTAGCTGTGATGTCCATTTTTATGAAATTTCTACTAAAAGCTATGTTAAAAGTAAAGGGTGGTGGTGGTTTTATTAACTATGTACCTGTTTAGGCCATTTGGGCTGTGGTATTTTTCAACAGGTCAGCATCCCTAAATCTGTCAAGTTTTATACAAGAGTGCAGAGTGAACTAGGCAACTAGATTAAGAAGTATAACTGTTTAATACCAGTTTGGGCTGAGGACCTCTTTGTCTTCCTTTCACTGTCTTGTGCCTAGGGAGTGTTTACCACTTGTGAGGCAGCTTTGTCTGCTCTTGCATTGTACATCTTATTACTCCATTGGGAAGTAGGCTCACTTTCCTCTGGCCTTTTGCCTAAGTTAGGCTTTGCTGAATCAACCCTACTTTTTCCTTTTAGAAAAGGTTGTTATATGAGATGTACTTGCAACTGTTCTCTTCCCATCAAAAATCAGTGAATGTTTGCTGAGTATATTATGCTGCTTCCTTAAACTACTTTTTGCTTTAGGATCAACTTTATCTGTACCCTTTTTCTTACCCTTGCCACCTCAGGTGCAAATCTGAACTTGTTATCAGCTTCTTGTATTTCTCTTCCCCAACATCCATTTGACTTTATTTTACTCTAACTGCATCAATCTTTAAAAGACATTTATCAAAACTAAAAAGTTGGGTTTTTTTTGTTGTTGTTGTTGTTATTTTAAGAAATCTTGAGTAAGTTCCTTTCCCTGGTAACTTTGAAAAGCAACCAGAGTCGTAACATAGATCTGTTTGGCTCTCATAAAATGCTTTGTGTATATGGTGTTTAAACAAGAATTTGCTGGTTAACTTTGCAGTATCTAGGTTCCAGTGTCATAAATCCTCTTCACATGCTCCCCTTGCAACAGTATCCAGAAACAGTGAGTGCACTTGGTAGTGTCAGCCCCTACCAGTGGAGGAACAGTGGTTTTTAGAGATGCTTTCTACTTCCAGTGTTGGCCAATGACCCGAGGGAATTGCAGTTGTGGGTGCATTCCCTAATTTGCATGGATCAAGTAAACTGGCCTTTTCTGCTACTTCCAAGCTTTTAACAGCAATCTTCATATTTGACAGACTTCCTGGAGTTAATTGCTTTTGTTAGTAGCTTCAGTGCCCCTAGCTGGGATACGCAAGCCATATTATATGGCAGCTTCCCTATTTCACCTGCCTAAAGTCTATCAGAGGGCTTTATCACAGCAGCATCAGGGTCTCCCACTCATCTTCAGGTCAGTTACATTTGCTTTTGAAAAGTGCATGCTTCATTTGAATAATCCATTGAGCAGCAGATGGACTTGCAGTGATTTACAATAAAATCTTGATCCAGAGTTCAGGACACATACCATAGTGGTAAAATGAAGTAGCATATAATATCACTGGACTTTAAATTCTGTGTAATTTGCTGCGATCCAGATTGTATGTGTTTTATGTGTGTTTAAATAAACATTAAATACACGTGTATACATACACACATAGATAACAGATCCAAGACTGATTTGAAATGGTTGAATTTGCAAGGTATTATGTGGTTCAGCCATGATTAGGAACTGAAATTTACTACAAGAGAGAAAAGGACTTAATGTCCTAAATCCTTTTAGCTGTAAATCCTGGTATAGGGCACTTGGGGAATGGGCTGGGGCGGGTTGGTGAGACAATCAGATCGGTAAATTGACTTCAGTGCTCCTGACCCTGTAATTTTGTGCATAGAGCATCCTGTGCTGTGGAAATAACTGTTCTTAGATTTTCATTGTAACTGGACTGTTCAGGTTGCCCAGAGGGAAAGAACATTCCTAATTCTAATAAAATAAACTTTTATTTTGTTATTCCATTAGTTACTTATGTTTATTTTTATAGTTGAAAAAACATGGCCATTATGTGGCTAACAGCCTGTATTGTGTGCCTTATTCACTGTTCCTACTTCATAATATAAAATGTCAAGATTTGGTTCATTTCCTTTGCAGGGAACTGTGAATGAGACCATCCCCAACATTTAGGTTGGTTAATGAAACTTCAGAAGTTTTCCTGAAAGCTTTGTAATTTCTGTGTCTTGAACACTGGATTTAGATTGCTGTTTGTATTGTAACAGGGATACATACTAGATACTCAGTCTTTGAATGTCAGATTTTAAAAGATGTCTTAAAAGTTATTCTTAGTCTAAAAAAAACAAAACCAAAAAACCCTCCTTGTTTTAGCTCTCTTTTAGAAGGTTGGTATCTCCCATAAGGGTAATGGGAGAGTTGTCTTAAAGGTTGGGAGATTTTTATTAATATTACAGCCAAGTCAAGATGTGGTGTTTGGATCTATAATTAAGAGTTTATTTATCACTTTCATCTTCAAAATACTTTAGCTTCTATTACATTCTAAAACAAGTGAAGTCCAAATTGTGCTTTACAGGAAAATGAGGCTCAGTGAGGTTAAGTAACTTGCCCAAGTTTTCAGTTTCTTTCACCTGGGACTGGAACATCGGACTACCTCTCTGTATAATTTTCTTATTCTGGTCTCAGAGAAACCTAGCAATCAGGACCAGGTAAGATGGTTCTGAGTGTTGTACTTTAAACTACTCATCAGAGATCACACAAATTGCCTGCCAGTACTCCTGTTAGCTCCTGATGCTATCTATAAACCATCTTAATTTGTTGTTGCAAAACTTGTAACTAATGTCCCATTTTTGCCTAATTGTTAGAAACCAGCCAGAGTAGCCCTCTCCCACTGTGCTGTTTAGGGCAGTCTCCATGTAAGGGTGATTGCATGTGATAGGTGAGTGTAAATGGTTCAGATGATTTGATTTGCAGTTGTTAATCTAGTTATTTCCAGGGTTTGTTTTATCTGGTAACTGAAAATGCACAGAACACCAGATAACCATTTGACCTTTAAGAAGATAATAGGCAGTAAGCATCATGGGAAAATCCTGACTCCTTTGAAAATAGGAAAATGTATGGACCCCTAGACTTTTGTATTTCTTTGCAGATAGAGTTGTGTATGTCTGGTTTATGTTAAGGGATTTGCTCCTGTTCTTAGTTATTAAAGATGAAATAGCTAACTCAGAAATGCTCAATTGGAAATCAACTGATGCCTACTATAGGAGTATACAGGCAACTTTTAGTTTTCTCTCCTTTTTTTTTTTTCCCTTGTGGAATTAAATGCATTTTTAAGGGCAGCTGATCTTTAAGCAGTAGCATTTAGAATAAGAAACACAGATTCTTGTGAAAAGCAGTTTCCAAACTAGTATGATTTGGGGCCATAGAGCCATTTTCAGGAAAGGAACCAATTCATAAATCACATACTGAAAAGGAGCAGCTCTAAAAATACCAAACAAAAAAAAACCCAATAACCATACTACCATAGTTATTCAGTAGGCTTAAAATCACATGTATATATAAGTCATGTAAATAGAAGTAGGTTGCCCTGGTTGAGGTGGGCCCTGAGAGGAAATAAACTGATAAGACTATGTTGAGGAATTACACATTGAGTTCATAACAGGGTCATGCTTTTTGGATTCCGTGTGTTCATTCTGTTAGGTAGTGCTGTCTGTTTTATAGGAATATTGTGAGGATCAAAGAAACGAATGAGAAAACAAAGGCTAATTATACAGTAAGTACAACAGTGCTTAGGGGAAAATAATTTGTTTTTCCTGTTAGCCCATAACAGGTGTTGAATGTTACTAGACAGTAGACAGAACAAATCAGATCCATGAGGCAGGGCCATTAATACAAAGGTTCTTCAGGGCCTATCCCCATGAATTGGGAGGCAAATCTTGGAGACCCTGGTAAACTGCATACATATCATAGTGATTTGTCTAACAAGATGAACATGCCTGGGATGTTTTCCTTTTTATGTAAATGTAAGGAGGAATTAGGAATACTATCTTGTAAGATCATTAAGGCTAACTGGTGTTTACTAAATGCTTCATGTCCATCTCATTTAAACTCCTAATCTCATGATTTCCTTTTCCATCTTATAAATAATAGAGATTCAAAGAAAGTAGGTAATCACCCTGAAGTCATCCTGTTAGCAAGTGGTTGAAGTTTCATGCCTACATTCCTTCACTGGAGGTCCAGCAGTGAACAAAGGGTCTTGGTTTGTCTGACTCTTAACCTTGATTGTACAGAGAATGGATGCCCCATGGTTACCCAGCCAGATAACAGAAGTAGAGCCATACTTGGCACCTGAAAGTCACACTGTAGCTATTTCTCAGAGCTTACCAAAAGCACCACCCAAAGCTATTGACTAATTAGAGGACTTCTGACCTTAGATATTCTGTGGCCAATCCTTGATTTTGGTTCTTTCTGTTCAAAACATGCAGCTTTTGTTGGTAACCTCAGACTACTAGGAAGGACCCAAAGTAGGCTTTCCCCACCTTGTATTTGGGAGCCACCCGAACATTTTTACATCAGTTAAGAGATGTAGGGCTGTGTATTTCCAGACCCTTTATAGAAGGCCAATCTTACTTTGATCTAATGACTGGTTATTTCTCCAGAGGGACGTGATGTCTTACTTGGCAGCTAGAAATCCCTCCGTATTGACTACACCTTATGCCATAAGGAATTCAGATTTCTTTCAGGCTGAAAATATGGAGGGTGGTTAGAGAAAGATAAAAACAATTCTGCATAGAGGACAGTTTGTTTCCCATAAAGTTCTTCAGGCTGAAAATCCTGTTTTTGTAGGTTCTAGAATTCCTTCTAATGACTAATGTTTGTTTCGGTATGCGCAATAACAAAACAGGTCCCTTGAAGCCACTTCACTGCATATTAAATGGGTCTTCTGATTTTGAATTTGATGAGGATCTAGCTCTAAACAATTGGTCCAGATTGGGATTCTTGAAGATTGAGTGAACACACAACAGGATTTGTCCTAAAGTTTCTTAGGGACCATAGCCAAAACTATGACTTGAATGTCCCAGCTTTCTCTCATAGAAAGAGCCCCTTGCTCTGTGTACTCCCATGTCTGCAGACCACCATTTTCTTAGAGCGCAGAATAAAATGATAATCAGTATTTATGGATCACCTTTTGTGGCCCTATTAGGGCAGTAGATATTCTAATGGCAATGCTCTAAAATTGTTAAGTTCTTGTATCTGCTCTAAAGTAATTTATAACCTAATCTCTAGTCTTCCTGGGATGAACAGTTGTTTGGTTATTAATAAATTTTTACCACATATCTTGACTTGTGGTTCATTTCTACCTAACCAGGGCAACTGCACAAGAGTTTTCTAATAAGGGAGAAAGTATGAGCTGAGTGTACACCTGCTTTGGAAAAAAATACCTAATTTTTTTACTTTTTGAGACAGGGTCTCCAGCCCAAGCTGGCCGCAAACTCACAATCCTCCTGCCTCAGCCTCCCAAAGTGCCAGGATCCAGGTGTACACTACCATGCTTGAAATACAAAATGATTTTGTATCCAAAAATCCTGGTTACAGTTTGAAGCACTGTGATGGTCACCGCAGTAAATGGCAGGAAATACGCCTAATGAAGGGAAGTATTCTGCGTGCCTCTGAAGAATTAGTTCCACCCTATTACTTTGAGTAGCTTGTAATAAAGCTCTGTGATATTCTAGTGAACTCGATGATGTATTCCTGTAAACATCAAATTAGTGCAAGTCAGTGCCTTACAGTGATCAAATGTTTGCACAATAATGGAAATAGGACTATTTTGGTTCCATAAAATTGCTTCACAGATTCCAAATTCTGTTTCTTTGGTACACTGGATTGTATCCCTCAGATAAGTTGCATAATCAAAGGCCTCGCCCTGAACAGATTAGAGCTGCAAAATCACTGAAGGGAGTAGATCATTAAAGATGGAACCATGCTCCTGGAATGGGAGTTCTCTACTTGCCTTGTTTTATTGTGTTCATCAGAAGTGTAACATTTTGACACTTGTGTACAGTTGAGTTATAACCACTCAAAAGAGAATACAGAACGTTAATGTAAAGTTCTCAACCCTTTATCGTTGAGACCCTTTCTACTCCAGCACTCTGAAGGTTTTGCTTTTCAACTTTGCATAAATGGATCATATCATATGTACTCTTGCATTTGTCTTCTTTCACTTAAAATGCTTTAAAGACTCATCCATATTGTATCAGTAGATTGCTCTTTACTGCTGAGTAGTGTTTCATTCTATAAGTATGTCACAGTTGGCTTATCCATTCTATTGATGGCTCAGTTGTTCCCAGTTTGGGACAATATGGGTTTTGTTTTTGGTGAATGTTTTCATTTCTCCTGGTTAAATACCCAAGACTAATAAATTGTTGGGTCACATGGTAAGCTCATGCTTAACTTCGAGGAACTATTCTCCAGAAGGCTTTCACTGTTTGGGATGCCTATCAGTGATGTGTGAGAGTTCTAGTTGCTCCACCTCTCTGTCAACATTTCCTGTTGTCAGTGGTTTGTTTTTGAGAAAGGGTCTTAACATGTAGCCCAAGCTTGAGATCCTCCTGCCTTAGCTTGCTGAATGCTGAGATTAATAGATGTTCACTACCACATCTGTGTTTTTCTAAATTAAATTCTAGCCATTTTAGCATGTATGAAATAACTGATTTTTAATTTATATTACTTGATGGTAATGATCTTGAGCACTTTTCATAAGCCTCCATTTACATATCTTTTGTGAAGTAGCTTCTATTTTTTCTTTTTGACAATACTAGAGTTTGACCTCGGGGCCTCATGCTTGCTAGGCAGGCTCTACCACTTGAGCCCTTTCTAAGATTTTACTTATTTTGAAACAGGATCTCTCTATGTAGCCCAAGCTGGCCTTGAACTCTCAATCCTCTTGCCTCAACTTCCCAAATGCCGCGAAGCTGACTCAAGTATATGTCAACACACATGGCTTACTCAGATCTTTTGATGAACAGAAAATTATCATTTTGTAGTGCTGGAAATGCAACCCAGGTTCTTGTATATGCTAGGCTTACTTGTTTTTTATTTATCTTGAGGGTCTTGCTATTTTGCCCTGGCTGGCTTCAAATTCCTGGGCCAGTGACCCTCCTGTCTGTCTCTTGAGTGCCTGGCACGAAAATGTTTATCTTGCTAACATCCATTTTATATATATTTTTTTCTTTTATAGTGTGTGTGTACTGGGGTTTGAACTCATAGCTCTGACCTCGCTAGCCAGGCACTCTACCACTTGAGCCAAGCTTCTAACCCGTTTGCCCTGGTTTGTTTTGGAGCTATGGTCTCACTTTGTGCCCAGGCTGGTCTGGACCAAGATCCTCCTACCCTGTGCTTCCCTATAGCTGGGATAACAGGCACTCACCACCATGCCCAGCTCCCCAAATCCCATTGAGATGGGAGGTCTTGCAAACTTTTTTTTGCCTAGGCTGGCCTGGAGCCACAATCTCTCAATCTCAGCCTCCTGTGTAGCTGGGATTACAGAGAAGGACCACTGTGCCCACTACTGCGTGAGATGGGGCCTCACTTTTTGCTCAGGCTGGCCTCAAACTTCGATTCTCCTGGTTTCAGCCTCCCAGGTAGCTAGGGTTACAGGTGTAAGCCACTGGCACCCAGGTCTTTATGACCTCAAGTTCAAAGTCATAAAGAACTTTTGTTTTTTGTAGAAGTTTAGGTTTATTTCAACATGAGTATTCAGTTTCAGCAACATTTGTTAAAGATTTTTCATCCATTAGATCTACTTGGTACTCTGATGGAAAATCAGTTGATCGTATGTGTATGTGGCTATTTCTGGAATTTCTGTTCTATTTCATTCATCTGTTTGTCTATCTTTTCATCAGTACCATACTCTGGATTGCTAGACCTTTCTAGTAAGTCATCAAATCAGTAAATTTTTCACTTCTTTTTCAAGATGGGTTTGATTATTCTAGACTATTTGCACAGCCATTAAGATTTAGAAATAGCTTGTCTTTATTTTTCAAAAATGCTTGCTGGGATCTTGACAGAGGTTGCACTGAATCTATAGGTTAATTTAGGAAGAATGAAATATTTTTAGGAGTTAACATCCATCAACATGGTACACCTTGTCATATACTTATATTTTCTTTCTTCCTATTAGTATTTTGGACCTCCCGTTGTATAGGAATTGGCTCTTTTATTAGATTTCCTCCCCTTAGGAATTTTTTTTTTCTTCAGTACTGGGGTTTGAACTTAGGGCCCTTGTGCTTACAAGACAGACACTATCACTTAAGCCATGCCCCCAACCTAGGTATTTGATTTTTTTATTAGTAATATTTAAATCCACTTTCCATTTGTTGCTGGTGTAAGAAAATACTTGATTTTTATGTCAATTTTGAACCTGTCACCTTGCTAAATTTATTCTAAAAACAATTCTATAGAGTGTGTCCAGTTATATACACACAATGTTGTCTTCAAATAACATCTGGCT